ATTGACCTCCGTCCGCAGTGTTTCCTAGGTTCATAATTCTTGACTTATCTACGCGCCAGTCCTTCCTACTGAGAGACGATGATAAAAGTCCTTTCCGATGGAATCGAAGGTTCTGCAGAACAGGAGTTGGGAAGCAGTCCTGAACGGGGGGCGCATGACCAGCGGGGCGGGCAGCGGGGCGTCTCGCGAGGCGCGGCGGTGGGGTGGCGGGATGGCGGAATTGGTAAAGGCAGGGTGCGGTGTCGATTTTGGGGCGACGGGACGCGCGCGCATAGGCGCGCTCCAGATGCGTGACGGCGGAGATTGTGGGGCTTCGCCGCGCGTGCGCGTCGGGGACGGCGGTTCTTTGCCCCGCCGCTGCGCAGACGAATGGCACGCGCACCGGCGCCGCCTGCAGCGTCGCCAAGAGTGTCCGAGGTTGTAGGGCGGTGTGGACCCCTGCCGCACGCAAGTGGGGGCTGTGCTGGCTGTGCGGGCGGCGCGGCGGCGAGCGTGCTCCACGCGGCGAGACCGGGCGCGCGAGGGGTCGGCCGGGGACGTGTCGGTGGGCGGGGGTGGCGGGAGGCGGACGGGTGGGATGGATTGAGTGATTTCGGGACGTGTCGCGGTCAGGGTGCGGTCTCAGGTGCGGTCTCAGGTGCGGCCATACAGACGGGTCTTAGCTCTGTTGTAAATAAAGATGTAAGGTATATGATAAGGTGCACATTAAGTTAAACAAACGTGGGGTTTTACAACCAGGGAGAACCCGTTTGCAATCCGGTTGCCCACTTGCTGTGCTGTACGCCTGTCGCAAACATGCCGACTTACACTCTCCATCATGTCTCGATTGCCTCAAGGAAACGCTCAAGGAAAACGACCCCAGTCACGTGCATCGGAATCTTCCAAAATTAAGACGACCGGTGCACTACAGCTGTACACCCAGTTACTGCAAATAGTAACACGCACAGTAAAGGGGTGAGGTTCATTTGGACAGAGATCACACATATTAGTGTATGTTTCCCTAATAACAGTAGTTTCACTATATAACTCACAACTGTATTTAGTGACACTTACATTAATTCCGTTCGACATAATTAGTCACACTGTCAGGGGCCCCCAAAGTAACGGTAAAATTGTGTTTCACTTTATCATGGATTTACTACTGTCAGCAGACGCCTTCAAAAAACAGGTTCACCATCGAAGTGATTTCTATGTTTCACAATTATGGCTTGCAAATTGGGAAACAGCTGCTTTTCCTCCCACAGCCCGTTTGTGTTACAGGCCATCCCAGTGCGGATCATCGCTTTCCTAGCATATGTCAAGCCCTCTTCGTCCCTCTGTGCGTTAACTTCACGTACTGCAGCAACAGCCAGACGCAGGAAAAAGCTTTTGCCCGGATTTTTAAGCTTCCCCAACCCATCAGTCCAATCGTCGCACATGATGCGTTCCATTTTATGCTGCTCCCAACGGGTGGTCCAGGCCCTCTTAATTTTTTGGATCACGAAGGAATCACATGGCTGAACGAGATGTGTGGCGTTCTTGGGGAAACACCTGATTTCAGTCCTAATAGTATCAGCAGCAGGAGCCAATGCTGTCGTATAATTATGACCTCTGCAATTATCGACGTACAAAATCCGTTTCCGCTCGTGTGGTAAAGGATTGATAATGCGACGTTCTGAAAGCCATTCAGGCATAACCACAGTGTCCATCCAGCCGTTTGTTCCAGTTCGATAAGCAACACCCAGTACATCATCCACGCCTCTGATAGCATAGCTTCGTAAATCATTTCTAAAAACCATAAACGGAGCCTCGATAATCACATCTCGTCCCCCAGAAATTCTGACCACCATTGTCATCCCCTCTCCGCCCGAGACCACATCGGCGTACTTCACCTCACTCTCTCCTGAGAAACCGAGCGTCCTGCCATTATCAAGGTTGATGACAAAGTGGGTTTCGTCCGCGTTTTCCACATCAACCTCATCGAGTTCTCCGTTCCGAAACTGGAGAGCCAAAACTCCCAAATGGAACGCCACTTCCTTTTCAATAAACAACTCCTTCGCAGGCGAAGTTTGAAGTTTCCCTGTGAGCGCACGGCTCACAATCTGAAAACGCTGGCAAAAGGACTGTATCCAACGGGCTGAGATTATAGTCAGGATTGTGTTTCCCGATTTCGGATCGACGAAGCTCGGGCAGTATGCGTCACTTTTGCTTGTGGAAATGAGGTGCAAGGCCAAAGATTTCATTGTCTTCATGTTAAACTTCACCCCTAGTTTTCGCAGTCGATCAAACTCGAGAACGAGATCTTGATCAACTGCCTGAACCCATGCCGCGCGTTTGCGACCGCGACCTGCCCTGGCTTTTGAGTAAACCCGTTTGAATCCACACTTCGTAACACGGGTAATTGACGAACTGCCACCACGGCTTATTATTTCCCCACTTTCGTTGAGATACTCAGCTTCGTTTTTCAACAACCTCGAGGCCTTCAGGATGTTGGCATTTGTGGTACCACGAAACAATGCGGGAAAGTTGCGCACTGCTTTTGCCGGGAGATGTTTGTCCCCCTCCACCGAGGAAGTGAATATCATCCATTTGACAATTTTTGTGCGATCAGCTCGCGTGAGTACATGCTGCAGTGGCCGCTTTCTCGCAAGAACGGATTCGGTATGCGAGATAGAGGGAGTTTGAACCAATGGATGAGGTTAAGGGGCCACAGTGGTGGATGTTGGGATGCAACGACTTCGTTGCGCCTGCCGTTGAAACGCTGCGATAATTGGTGAAGCACAAAAGGGCATGACAGGGAAAGCAGCCTTGAAGTGGTCACAATGCTGGGAAGTTACGATGGGAAAGGATCTGATGTATGCCCGACTTATTGTAATGGCAGCGATTTCGTCGTCGCCTAACACGTTAGAGTACGTGCTTCCATCACCGAACCACAGAAGCGATCCTGCGATTGACCTGCCTCAACAATTGAATCAGTAAAGTTTGGGGTTACACTAATATTGTCGAAACCGTATTTAGTGTGTGTGTCACTATTTCGATTTTGGTTTCGCAGCAATACACACATATTAGACACGCTTTCGGTATTTGACGTAGTTTCACTAATTGTTCACTTACACTATTTGCAGTAACTGGGTGTATTGATTTCCCTCCACCTTCTCGCTGCTTGTGGCTGCCCCGTACGCACCACACGCACCACACGCACAGAGAGCTTTGTGCACAGGCGCACCGGGCATCGTGCACTGCGCCCGCCTCGAGCCCATCACCTTTCAACAGCATGCTACCGTTTACGTCTCTAAGCTGCATGCATGATCACCTGTCGGCCCAACAACTTGCTTCAACTTGCCCGCTGCCCTATCATAACTGTTGCTGTGAAGCACCGCGTGCCAATACAATTTTGCCTTTCTGCGCTTTTGGAAAGCAAAACTGCCAAAGCATTCAATTTCCCTCAATCACACTCACTGCATCGCCTCTGACCCTCTGACAAAACTTAACACATCTTGTTTACACGATCAACCCGAAAGGGCGCTATATTCTTCTTACATCATTTAATCATTGATACAGTATTTGAAATTTCGTATGCTATCGCAACCATGTTTCAAGCTATTACACTCGGACTGGGTATCATGCGGCCATGGCATGAGAGGGCATACGGGAAAGGATGGAAGTGGCCACGCTGGACCAAATCGCGCAGCTAAGTTGCTGTTGTATACGCGACTGTACGGATTCGTACGAACTTGCACTACGAAAGGAAATGCGCCTGCGCTATATTCTGTATCACCTCATAACAAGTACACACTGCTCAGGATCAACCCGATATGGCGTTACAGTATATATCATATCTTATCATATCAAGAACTCCGCGTATGCGGGTTATTGTTTCATTTTTGCTTTTTGCCCTGATGAATCGTAATCCTCATGGGAATAACAATAATCACACGGATATTAGCGCACGAAATACCCAAATGCGATGAGCTCCTCCAGCAAACAGTCTGTCCTTGCGGTCGGTCACGCGCGCACCTGTCAGCGTCTGATGAAAAGAGTTGCGGTCCGTCAGTCCCGGGGGACGCTGAGGGGTGCGCGTGAAGGTTGTGCCAGGGTGCGCATTCGGGTCGGGGCTGCGGGGTTCATTTGGTTGGATGATTTTGCAGATTTCTTGAAAGCGGATGGGTCCGAGCGCTTTTGTGAATAGGTCTGCTCGGTTGCCCGCGGATGGGATGTTTTGCGCGATGATAGCGGCGCCTTGGATGTGATGTTGAAGGTGGTGGTGCCTGACATCGATGAGCTTCCTTCTGCGCGTGGGGGCGGAATTTTCCGCGACTTGTATGGTCGATTGGTTGTCGATGAATACTGTCGTGGGGTGCTGTTGTGGGTGCTTCATGTCCCGAAGCAGCCGACGAAGCCATAGCGTCTGCTGGGCGGCAAGCGAGGCTGCTATGTATTCAGCCTCGCAGGTTGACAGGGCTACGACGTCTCGTGGTGCCGATGTCCAGGCTATCGGGGAGTGGCCGATAGTGTGTATTATGCCTG